AGGCGCTTTTGGCGAGGTAAGATGGGCTTCGTTTCGTTCATTTCGCATCGTTTGCCAAAACCACAGCAGCTCCCATCGAGCAGTGTTACGGTCCTTCCGTTGAATTTGGGGTGAGGAAATTGTGAGGTGCATTTGGAGAGTTCTTGGACAAAATCCGAAAGGTAGAATTGAGGAAAGTAAAAACGAAAGCCTGTGACTGGTGAATTACCCTGAATAGTGTTCAGACCAAAATGGTTTCTTACAGATAAGTTTTTTAAACGTCCATTTGTTAATTGAAAATTTCCTTCACAATGCGAGAAGGGCAGAGTCACTGTCGTTCCCATTATTCATTGCTGCTGCCATCAGTCCCCGTGCCGGCTGCGCGTCTGGTCGCCTGGCATCAGGGAAGAGAGCAGGTCGTATGGCAGGCTCCCCAGGCCCCCCAGGCCCCTCAGGCCCCTCAGGCCCCTCAGGCCCCTCGCCGGGGCAGTGCTGCCTCCAGGGCTGGGCGTGTTGAGCTTCCTGCCCTGGGCCGGATAGTTGTGACTGGGAGGCTGTGGCATCTGCAGATGGCGCGCTCCTCCCAGGCTGTGTGTCCAGCAGCCTCCCTGGCAGAGGGCGGAACCACGTGTTGCGTCCGGTCAGTCACCTCATGAGCTTTGCCTCTTAAACGTCGAGCGTGTCAAGTCCTGCGCTTAGGTTTTCCCTCAGCTCTCCCAGGCCGGGACCTGTGCACATTGGTTACTGAGGGAAAAACCCAACAGCAGAACACTGTGCCATGTCACAGTCGCGTGTGTGTCTCCCTGATAGAACCTGCTGGACGTGACTAGACAGTTCTGCACACCGCAAGGGGCGTTTGTTGTGCAGGGTGTGCGTTTGACACCGTGCACACGTGAGAGACGGCAGACGGCGGGCTCACGGGATGGCTCCTCAGCCCGGAGGTATCATGTGACTGAGTTGACACAAGACCTGTAACGTGTCTTAGAAGACATCTCGTGGGTTCTTCTTCAGCAGTCGCTGGGAGGCACCCTCCTCCTACAGAGATGCTTAAGAAACTGAAGTGAGAGAGCTCTGCCCGCCCGAGGCCTGGGGGCAGGCGTGTGCTGTGCCCCTCCATCCTCGGGTGCTGCCCTGGCCCCTGGCAGACGCTGCCCACAGGCCCCCACCGCTTGTCCTCATGCCTTGCTCTCCCCCACCCCAAACCTGTCTTCCTGTCCCCATGTCTGGCCCTAATAGTAAGTCTTACCCAGGGGCAGGGGGAGGGAGAACAGCACCCCTGGGGGACTGCCGGGTGGCCTTCTTGTCCTCTGGGGTGGCGGCTCCTCCCAGGCCCACCCAGGCTAACCTCAGAACTACCCTGGACCCAGGACGTCTCAGCCAAATTCAACTTATTATGGGCTGGGATGGGACTGGGGGGTGTTCTTTGTTTTTCAGTGAGGTATAATTTCATGTAAAATGCGCAGATCTAAGTGTACGGCTTGAGTTAAGGCGGATGTCTACGCCCGTGTAACGAGCGCCCCAGTTAATATAGAACGTTTCTATCCCCTAGCAAGTTCCCTCTTGCTCTTCAGACCCCCACCCTGTCCCGTAAGCCCCGCCTGTCCCCAGGCACCGCCTTTCCCGATTGCCACCAGAAGGGAACTTAGTTTAAAGAAACCACAGAGAAAATTGAGTTCTGCATAGAAGTAACATCTCTGAGCTGTAGGCAGGTTTTGTAAGGTATGGTTTTTGTTGTTTAGTGAGAAGGAGAAAGCGTGTTGAAATCAAATGTGATTCGATTCAGTATGTTCTTTTGCTGACCGCCTTCCCTGTGCCAGGAGCTGTGCCCTCAGGCCCTGGGTCAGAGCGGTGGTCAAGGCCTGGGCCCCTACTGAGCTCCACAGTGACAATGTCCGTCCGCAACAGAGTGCCCTGGAGGGGCAGGAAGGGACTAGGGTCGAGAGCAGCCACCTTTAGGAGGACAAGTGAAGAGACTGGAGAGAACATGGTGCCAGAATCGTTTACAGTTATTTTTAGTGCTTTTCTTTGCCAAAGAACATAATGCAGAGCTCGGTTTTCTCAGTTTCGGGGCAGATAGATAGCGGTGATTATTTTCCATGTTCCTCCCGAACTGGGAGAAGCACGTGCTCGCCCGGTCCTGTGCAACAGCCCTCGGACGTGCTTCTCTGCACCCGCTTCCTCCCAGGCTTTACCAGCTTCCGTCCCCCTGCCGCCCCCAGCAGCACCATCCCTGCCTGGCCTTGTGGCCTGGGCTCCGCACGCCAGCCCTCCTCACCCAAGTTCTCCGGCCACCCGGCCATTCTGCGTCCAGTCTGGGGTCCCCACGTGCTCGCCGGTCCTCCCCTGCCATAGCTAGAGCCTTGGATTCTGCAGCCAGTGTTGCTGCCTGCCCCTCACCATCTAGTCATGCACCTGCAGTGTGTCCAGTGTCGGCTTCTCTGTCTCTGATGGCACCAAGCAGATCAGAGAAACGAGGACACTCCTCAGTGTTGGGACCAGAAGTCCTCTTCACACGTGGTTCTAAGCGGATTATTCTTCCCTAATGACAAGCCAGGAGGTCACATCAGGGCGTGTTCATCGTGGACGCCCCATCTTCAGGCCCAGAGGAGATTATATTTAATCATGACCGTCATCGTAGTGTGGTCTTCAAAAGGAGTCACCTGAGGTGAGACCGCCCCTTGTTGGGTGCGTTACTGCACCCTTCCGAGCCTCCTTCAGATCCCGTAGTTGTGACATGTGGACATTAAAGACAGCACTGCGCACGTTAGCTGACAGCACGCAGGTGGCTTGCTTGGTGCGGTTCCTGGCGCGTGGAAAGGGCTCAGTGACGATGTTACCGTGGGATGTACGTTGTTTAGGAAGCAGGGACGTAGATACGGTTTTGTGATGGAGACTTAGGCCAATGAATGACTGGCTTACATAGGGCGGAAAGTGCCATTTGATGGTGCAAACAGCACATCCAATGTTGGTAGCGAGGGAAAAAACTCACTGAAGATTTGGCAGTGACCAGAATCCAAGAGGACTTCCTGGAAGAGGCGGCACGTGAGTTGCACTCTGAAGCCAGCATGCTGGGTGCCGTGTGTCTCTTGCCCTTCTGAGCACGTTAAGTGAGCTGCGAGAGGCAGACATCTGCGCGTCAGCGGGCGAGTAGCAACGAGCGTGAGGGGGGAGCGTGGGGCCACTGAGGAGTTTTGAGTGTTATTATGAAACTCTCCAGACACACCCCAAGGTAGAGGGCAGTGAACCTCTGCACCCCGTGCTCAGCCCTGGAGCTTTTTGAACTGAGCAGGCGCGATCATTCAAGTTGCACTGTGGCTAAAATCAAGTTTTGGTACTCAGTATGGCGAATCGTTATTCACGTGGAAATCTTGTCTTCACAGCTCATCTTCCAGACTTTCCACTCAAGATTTCGCTGTAGTTATAGGACAGTGTGCTTTTGTCTTGTTCTGTTAACTAAATTTTTGTGCAACTCCCATTTGTATTGCAGGTTGCTGTTGTCAAAATGAAGAACACTGAACGGATTTATGCCATGAAAATCCTCAACAAGTGGGAAATGCTGAAAAGAGCGGAGGTGAGTGTGGCGTGTGAGTAAATCCGTAGACAGGGTCCGTGCGGGAGGAGAGCAAGGCCGCAGCCGCGGCAGAACGGGCCCTCGCAGGTGTGTGAGTCCCTCTCGGGCAAGTACAGGTGGGCGGCTGCTGCCTGGCAGCTTTGGTCCTCATTGTCTTCCTTCTGCGTCCAGCCTGCGACAGCTGTGCCTGGCCCCAGCTCCCCAGCCCCACCTCAGCCCTGCTGGCGTAGGCGAGGCGTCCTCTGGGTGCCCGCAGGCTCACCCCCCATGCCGCAGCTCCTGTCTGCACCCCCACCCCGTGTCCCTCCACTGTGTCGGGCCAAGACTTGTTAAGCTGACCTCCAGAGCGAGGGAGGGTGTGTGTGTGTGTGTGTGTGTGTGTGTGTGTGTGTGTGTGAAAATTACACAAGCCCTAAGGTTAGGGGGAGGTGGTCTCTCCTTATCATGCTAGTTAGTGTTTCCCCAAATGTCATACTGAATACATTCTAATAGTAAATATTGCTCGTTTAAGTCCTCGGACATAAAACTTATTAATTGGCATACTCGAAATAGTCCAAGAATGTCGTCAAACCATGGTGATTGTCCTAGAACTATCTAATGGGTTCTGTCAAGATGTGTGATGTGTGTACGAGCATAATATGTAGATTGATATATAGTGCTGGTTCAAGTACTTTATCCTTTTTTTCGTATTTAGTAGGCTTATGTTAAACATTAAGTTGTATCATACTGACTTGTAAACCGTCTTTGAAAGCGTGAGGCCAGCAAGAGGTGGCGGGAGAAAAGCTGCGAAGCCGCGTGAGTTTGTAGCTGGAGACGAGGCTGGGATTTTGGTTCAGCCCTTTTGGTTATTAAAAAAAAAAGTCGTGAAAACTTCTGTGCTCTTAAAACAGAGCCGCTGAGTAATCTGCCTGTTTCCTGTCCGTGGGTCCCCATGCTGGCCGCCCCCAGTTTAAGAATGGCTTTCACGCTGAGTGTCCCGGGGGCTGGAGGTCCCAGGCTGGCCTCTCTCAACGTCCCCTCACCAGGCCCCAGGTCTGGGTGGCCGCTGGCGAGGGCGCGTGGTGATCCCTGAGCACCCGCACGTCGTGAGCTGGGTGTGGGCCATGTGAGTCCTCTGTCTGCTTCTCATTACTGGAACCAGGACACAGCTACCCCAGTCATTTCTCTCGAAGAAAAAATTGTTTTAAAATGTTTAGAGTAGTAAAACTTCTGGAAAAGTTCCGAAGGCCAGTGTGAGACTCTGAGAAAGCAGGTAACTCATGCTTCGCACTGCAGGCCCTCTGTCGGGCGCTGTATTTCTACAAGTTTCATATATAAGGAGTGAAAAGCTTCAAGTTACGGGTTCAACATTATAATTATGCCAAAGACCCGGTCACTTTTCTTTTTTAATCAAAAAGAACTTGTGAGTGCTCGTCGCTCCCTTCCGGCACCCCCGCTCACTGGGCACCCCCCACCTCTCTGCTTGCTCTTCTCGCCCCCTTCCGCTTCGGCGCTGTCATCTCGTTCTCTCGGGTCTGTTTCTGTTTCCTTTGCTGATTTGTTTTGTTTTTTTAGATTCTGCATGTAAGTAAACTCATGGTATTTCTCTTTGTCTGTCTGACTTACTTCACTTAACATACTGCCCTCTAGGTCCATCTGTCTTGTCACAAATGGCCAAGATTTCTTTCTTTTTTATGGCTGAGTAATATTTCATCATATATGTGCCACATCTTCTTTATCCAGAATCGTCTCTCGGTGAATGGGCTGCTTCCATATCTTAGCTGTTGTAAATAATGCTGCAGTGCAGAGATCTGTTTGAATTAGTGTTTTGTTTTCTCTGGATAAACACTGAGAAGTGGGGTTGCTGGGCGGCTTGGCCGCTCCGTTTGCAGTTGTCCGAGGAACCTCCACACTGTTGTGTGTTGTATGTTGCGTGTTGTAGCTGCACCAGTTTGCAGTCCCCCCAGCAGTGCACGAGGGCTCCCTTTCTTCACACCCTCGCCTGTGGTTACTTTTGAATGAGATGCCCCTTGTGTATTAAAGCTCTTTAAAAAAAAAAGTCTGAAAAGTAGTCTTTTACCCATATGCTGTAGGCTGTGGGTTTTCATAGTAGAATCCTGTTATGATCCTGTGCATCAGTATACTGCAGGTAAATTATATTTCTTAAAAATAACCGCCTCGGATGAGTAAGCAGATGTGTGCCCCATCCTGCCCGCCAGGTGGCTGCTAGACTGCGGGTCTGTGACAGAGAAGGGCAGGCATGTGGGGCAGCTGCCTTGAGGAGGTTGACCTGGCGGGCAGCGATGCCGGGGGTTGGGGGGCTCAGCTGGGAAGTCAGGTCGAATCTCTTATGCTGGTCATAGAAATGGCATATGCGCAAGGGGTAGGCGCCAGGCCACCTGGACGTGCGTTCCCAGCAGCCCTCAGCATGGGGGGGCGGGGTGCGGGAGCAGGAGGAGCAGAGATGCGCTCAGCCTTTCAGCCAACGAACACTGAGGGGCAGGCGGGGCCCGCCCGGGGCATGATGGGGCACCCGGCTCCAGGCGAGTGAGGGAGGCCAGGCTCCCTGCAGCCTGGGAGGCAGGGGGCACTGTCTGCAGAGCCCCTGTCACCGCAGGGACCCCTCTGTTCAGAACTGTGCTGCGCAGGCTGCTTGTCCACGTGAAACACACCGACTCTCCCCTGGCTCTCCACAGACGGCTTGTTTCCGGGAGGAGCGCGACGTGCTGGTGAACGGCGACTGCCGGTGGATCACCGCGCTGCACTACGCCTTCCAAGACGAGAGCTACCTGGTACGTGTGGCCGCCGAGCGCTTACCGCCTGTCGGGCGGCACTTCCTGAAGGCCCCTGGTTCTTTCGTGCTGCCATTTAAAAAAGCGAGAAGACAGGTAGCAGAGGACGTAGTTTAAACATAAATCTGACTAGACGAAACTGAGGGGTTCGTTTTAGTGTAATCATCAGGTGGATTTGGGATGTCACGTGCTCGTTTTTCTCTAATCACTAGATAACGTGATTGATTATCCGTTCACGTGGTTTGTTACCTTTGAGTAAACCGGGGCTTTAAGACATTTTCCACTTTGAAGTCCCTGTCAGAATGAGAAACTGCTGTGGGTTTAAAACGTGTCAGCCCTGTCCAGCGAGTGGCTGTTTCCGCCTCCCTGTGCTGGTCTGCAGTCCTCCCCGGGGGGGAGCTGGCCTCCAGGAGCCCTCTGGACACAGTGTCTGGGTGACCCTTGGTTTCCACGTGCTTGTCATCTGTTGATTCTTCTGACTCGAGCTGGGGCTGGCTTCCAGTGTTAACTAATCAGCTGTGACTCGTGTGTGCACGGAGTTGTGCATGGAGGTTTAATAAAGCAGGCACGGCACAGTCAGTTCACAAGGGAGGGAAACTGGACCTTGGGCTCAGGCACCGAGTCACAACTGCTTCGTTAGCACTTTTAATTCCGAAAAGGACGTTCCAGGTTTGCCCACACCTAAAAAGTCCACGCCGCGCAGCCGTGGGTGGACGGAACCCCCTAGACCTTGGAGAGCCTGGTCTGAGGACGACAGCGTCAGCTTCCCTCCTCTGGCCAGCGCGTGGCCGGCAGTGGCCGCGAGGGCCTTTGCGGAGTCACCGCAGCCTCAGGGCGGAGACCTAAGCTGTGCCGCAGCTGACTTGTGAGTTTGTTCTCAGTAACGTGCTCCATTTGCTCACAGCAGCGGTGGAATGTAGACTGACTCTCTCATTCATCTTAAAATAACCTCTTTGAAACCTCAGAGAAATCCCTTAGATTCAGACATCTGCGATTAGGTAAATTGGTTTGTTTTACTCTTTCTTTAGAATTGCAAACATTCACAGTTGCTTTGACAGAAGGGACAGCTGGTCCAGGGTTTTCTCACTCACGCTCTCCAGTGACCCCTTGAGTTAGGCACTCACGATTTTCATTATTTTATAAGAGGGGTGTCTGGGGCAAGGAAAGGTAGAATCAGCTGCCCAGGGTTACCGCAGGGACACAGATCGTGCCGCGGGCCCGCCTGGCGGGAGCGGTGCCCGGGGCCCTTGCCCTGGCAGACGGCACAGGCCTCATACTCCGAGGCCATCTCCACGTCAGCCCCTTGCTTCCCGGATCGTGCTGCTGCTCCGAGGACCATGGCTCCTTTTCCTGTTCGGATGACAACTGCACGAGGTCCCTCAGGAGAGCCAGGAAGCGCGGACCTGCACAGTTGGGTCTGTGCCGTTTTTCCTAAAATCACGCGAGCTGCTGTCAGGGACGCCGGGTGCCAGCAGCTCACTCTAAGTGGGACGGTCAGTGAGCAGTTCCAGCCAAGAAGCCCCGTCCGGAGCTTTGGGAGCTGCCCAGTTAGAGGCACAGTGAAGACTAAGGAGGGCGGCAGGGAGGCAGGGGCTCTGGCACGCCCTGGTATGCGCGGAGCCGTGACTGGGGTCACTGGGGCGGACCAGGCTGGGCACCCCCTCTGCTGCCCACTAGCGTGTGCGTGGGCAAGTCCCCACCTCTCTGGGACAGTGCTGGGCACCGCCTGCTCGTAAGGTGGCCTGAGGGCCCGGGGCGGAAGCAGACAGCATGCAGCCTGCGTGCGCAGGGCAGGGGCCACCTGGGCGCCTTTGTCGTGGCGTTTCAGGAAGAGGGAACCCACCCTGCCGGTAAGCACATGGTGTCGCCTTAGTGACTCCAGGCGTCTCACACGTGAGGGGCGGCCCTCAGCACCTGCTCCTCCGTCCCCCGGGAGCCGCGGTTGGCGTGGCCGGAATACAGTTCCGGTTCTGGGGTTTCTTTCTGGACCCCAAGGGCGACTGCAGAGCGCTGAGGCCCGGCTCCCTCCCGCTGCTGTCCCTAGGTCCGAGGACGCGGCTCCTCATCTGCCGCCTCAGCCCCGTGTGGCCATCGGCGCCGCGGTCTGTTCGAGTGTCTCCTGTCCCTGCCCAGTGGCTTCATTCTGTTTCCCGCTCCCCGGGGCCTGTCACCCTCACCTCCCGCCTGGACCGCTGCACGGCCCCGGCCCCCTCCAGTCCGGCGCCTTCCCAGGGTGATTGGGGCGCGGGAGGTGCTTTCAGGTGGTCAGACCGCAGCGCCCCTCTCCCTGCGGGGTCCGACCTCGTCCCCGCCTCACCCGGCAGGCCCTGGCCATCGCTGGTATCCGTCCTCCTGCGGCTCAGGCCGTGCTCCTCTCTGCCCCTTTACGCGTGTCCCTTTATCTGAAGCAGGAGCCTGGCCTGCGTGGCCACTCTGGCCTGTCCTTCGGGCCACGTGCTGCCCCGCCGGCACACCACCCCTCCCCCACCTGTCACACGGAGTGTGTGCTCGTCACCCTGCTCGCTTGTGGTCTGTCCCTCCACTCGGTGTCCGCTGCGCTCCGTAGAGGAGGTGCTGTCGCCCAGAGGGCCTGGCAGGCTCGTTACTGAGAGAACAGGCGAGTGAACGTCCTTCGAGAGTCTTCTGCGTGACAGGAGTTGTGCCGGGTGTGGGGGGACAGGAAACGATTAGCCCAGGGCTCCTGACCCTGGAACTCCCCATTATGGGAGGGGACAGGTCACAACGCTGTGAGGCCAGCGGGAGGCCTGGCCGAGGCTGCCCCTGGGGTGCGGTGCGAGATCAGGGAAGGCTAAGCCTAACCCTAACCCTAACCCTAACCCCAAGGTGGGTCCTGGAAGCCGAGTTCCGGGCAGGATGAGAGGCTCGGTGAGACGTCTCTGTGGGAACGGGGACCTGAGGCCGAGGCTCCCTGCTCCCGCTCGCCCTCAGCGAAGCCTGGCCACATGCAGATCAGTGCTCTTTTTAGGAGACGCCTCAGCATCGTGTTGGAGATTGTGGACCTGGAGCCGACCGCACGGGCTCTGATCCTCACTGTCACTGTGTAGCTGGTGACTGGGCGTGGCATCAAGCCTTGTTTCCTCACTTGCAGGGTGGGACCTTGCTGGTTCCCAAGGGAAGCTGTGCACGGGCACAAGTCACAGACCTGAGGGCCCCACAGTCATTGCTTCCTGAGTGGTAGCTGTTACTACGAGATTCTCAGTGAAGGTCAAGGTGTCAGGCCCTGGGAGGGGCGGGCAGTGAAGCTAGCTTCCCGAGGCAGTGGTCGTCCCTCTCTGTGCTGAGTGGTTGAGAGTTGGCCACTCAGAACAGAGCATCCGTCTGTCCGGAAGACACCGGCGTCACAGCAGGTGATTCCTTTGAGGCCAGGACCAGGCCCCTCCAGCAGTCGCTGAGGCGAGGTGGTCACCCTGACTCCGGCTGTGACAGTCTCACCTGTGCCAGGCCTCTGACCAGTGAGGTGCCCCGATCAGGGTCCCCACAGCCCTAGGCCCCTTTCATCACAGTCTTCAGGCCGCGGGGGCCGGTCGAGCTCCGAGCAAAGGTCTGGCTCAGTCTGATGGGCAGAACAGCCCTGTGCCGTGGGCCTCTTTCCTCTCATCGCTCTGATTTCTGCTTAATCAAGAGATTTTCTTATTCTCCCGTAGGGGCGAACCTGTGAGTACTTACCTTTCAGGTCGCTTGGGATGCTGTCTTTCTAATAAGAGCTCTAAGTTTTGCGTGGTTTTAGATAATTCACCTCTTTTTCTGGTCCAGTTTCCTCTTTGTGTGACACGATGGCCTGGGGAATTAAAGTCCCACAGAACTCGATGCACTGTTCAGCGTGCTCCCGCTTTGGGCCAGTAGCTTTCACGGCGGCTCCTCCAGCAGTGAACCTTGTGGTCATCTTCCATAGATTAAATACAGCGTTTGTCGAAGTTTGTCCTCCAGATGCGTGACTTCCCCTTACAGCCGCGTCATGATGCATCGGGGTTCGTGTCCCAAGGGGAAGTCCTGGACGGCACGAGAAGGAGGCAGCCCCCTATCCAAACTCGAAGAGTCGGAGGACCTCTGCGCTGGACGCTCGGCCTTTAGTTGTCGGGTGTCGAGGTGACCAAACCTGGTGTTCTCTCCCCTTCTCTTCCTGATTGTAGTACCTAGTCATGGATTACTACGTGGGTGGTGATTTGCTGACCCTGCTCAGTAAATTTGAAGACAAGCTTCCAGAAGACATGGCCAGATTCTACATCGGCGAGATGGTGCTGGCCATCGACTCCATCCATCAGCTCCATTATGTGCACAGGTAATCCCCTTCTTCCCCACTTGTGGGAACCGAGCTCGATGGCGTTACGGTGGCGTGCTCCTTCAGGGTCCCCGAGGCACAGACCCCAGGTTCCGGCCCGTCCAGGGACGTCATGCCCTCAGCGAGTCCTCGCTTGGGGCTGCCGGCATGTGGAGCGCCTCACCCAGGGCACTGCCTGGCACCTGGGAGGTTCACTGGGACTTGTGGTGTGTCGTTGTCAGCTGGTGGAGCCACCTTGTCTTTCGATATTCGCCCGACAGTAGCTCCCCACCTCCCCTGCATGTCCCCCCGAGCTCGTGCGGGGTCCTCGCCCTCTGTCTCCGCTTTCTCAGCCCCTTTGCTGTGTCTGCCAACTTCACAGAGCCCATGGGCTCGGTCACCCCACAAAACACACAGGGAAGATGGGGTTGAGGAGAGGAGGGGCTTGGCTAAGAGTGGACTGCCTCTGAAGGAGTGTCGCTACGGGTAGGAGTGAGAGGCAGGTCCCTCTCCCGCTCGCCCTGTCCCCTCCGCTGCGCCTGGCTCTTTGCTGGGCGGACAGTGGCCTTGACCTCGCCCGGCCTGCACATTCGCATCGATCTCCTTCTGCTCTTTAAGACAGCCATCAGCCCTACAGAGTTTTTTACTTATTTTACTTTTATTAAATTAATTTTACAGCAATGGCTTTAAAGCGTCAAACAGTTTTGCAGGCTTATGACAAAACATGAGTCTCCAGCCCCGCCCTGCAAGGTAATTTGCCACAGGTGACTTGTCAGCTGCTTTAGCTGTTTCTTCTGGTACTTACGCTCATGTTTCCACGTGCTGGCCTTCTGTCGCTTTTTCTTTTTTGTGGGGGAGAGAAGTTTACATCACATCTATTAAATTGGAGGTTTCGTTGTGACGTGAGTGCATCTCTGTCACCCCTCTCTCCCACGTTGTTCCATTTAGTAGAATAATAACTTTTGGTTAAATCGGTATTCGGTGTTTGTCGGTAATTGTCTGTGTAACTGTTTCAGTTGAGGCTTGTGCTATAAATAGTTATTCTTTCTATAGTTTCGCTTCCTCTGGGGCTAATAATCGCCCTGGCTTTCGTTAGCCTGCCTTTTTATGGAGCTGCCCCTCGTGACCCCTGCACTGTGGGCCAGCGCCAAAGCTCCAGCTCCGACTGCCCCTCAGGACCCTGGGCCACGTCGCCGCTCGGAGCAAGTCCCCCCGGCTCCCGCCCTTCTGCGTGGTGGTCCTCTGAACGTGCTGATGCCTCTCGTACCTCCCACTGCCCTGAGACCGGATCCTTTGTTTTCAGAGTCACGTGTCTTCCACTTTTTCGGTTTATCGTTTTGATTTGGTAGCCACTATCCCCCAGTAGTTTCTGGAAAAGGAAATGTGTAAGATAATTTTTTTGAGATTGGTGTCTTCGTTCTACCCACATACGTGACTGATAGATTACCCAGTGTGGGATTTTAGATTGGAAGTCACCTTCGATCCTCTTAGCACTGCAAAGCTGTCACTGCCCCTGTGTCCTGCACCTTCAGTGTTGGCTGTTGGGAGGTCTATGGCCATTATGAACCCTGGGGTGTGCCCTGTGGTCGGTTGCTGATCCTGCTCGGGACAGCCTCTGCCGCCTGCCCGGAGAGTCTCCTGAGCAGAGGCAACTCCCGCCCTGACGGTAGCCATGGCGCCCAGTGTTCAGGTACCAACCAGCTCTGGATGTTACCTGCTGCTCAGGGAGAAAACTGAGGAGGTACAACAGCTCGCCTCAGGCCACACGTCCCTCCTAGGTCACTGCGCCCCAGGTCCCAGAATGAGCCAAGAGAACTGCCCCCAAATAACGGTCGCTCCTTTTAGGGCGGTAAAGTTTGGGACAGTGGTTTTCTTTGCTTGTTCTTCATACAGTTACGTCGGCTTTTGTAACAGTTATCGTCGTGGTTTTTAACGTTGGGTTTTCTCCTCTGTCTTCTGGATAGGACTGTGCCCAATTCACACCAGCGATCAGTGTTCTGTATTTGTCACACATCTCCAGGGAAATTACTTTGACCACCTTTTTAATGGTTTAATCTTTTTCTATTTCCTCCTAATTAGAAAGCTTTCTCCTCATCTTAATTGGCTCTGTAGAAGCTTTGCTCTGTCATTTAACCTCCGGGCATAGTAGGAGACATTAAAGTATATAATTCAAAAACTTTTTTCCTTCAAAGTCAGCTCAGTGTTCAGACTAGGCTCGAACAACCCAGTTTAAAAGCAGAAAGGTTCTTTTTGCTAGTGACTTTATTAAGTCAGATTTTATAGGACGTCAGCCCTGCCCCAGCCTCAGACAGGTACCTGCGAGTGAGTTGAACTACACATTTCTGGGGCCAGAAGTACGTGAGTGTTGTCAGTGCAAGAAACACGTCACTGTGGCTTGAACAGCATGATTCAGACCACGGCTTCGGGCCCCTGTCCTGGGGTTGGACGTGGGTCGTGGCAGCTGTAGGCAGCGCCCACCACCCGTCTGCTGGGCTGTGCCAGGCAGATGACTGTGACCTGGCTTTGGCAGCTGGCCTGTGAGGAGCTCACTGAGTGTGGGGTACACTGGGGAGCTGGGACCACACGGGGCCTGAGAGGCCAGGCTGGGACACCAGCAAAGGCCGAGACGAGAGTGACAGACACAGGACTGCGGGCGGAGCACATCACACCCCCCAGGGAGAAGGGAGGATGCCATGCAGGAAATCGGAGCAGGTGCACCGTTAAGGGAGGCAGTAATCAGAGAACACAGGTCTCGGCATAGAAAACCTGGAACAAACAGAAAGCTGAGCAGGAGCGGTAGGAGGTGAAGGAGAGGTGACTGAGGGGACCAGGCAGGTGCTGGCTGGGCCGTCTGCGGTGGCGCTGGGCCCCACCCTGCGCCCGCTGCCGCCGAAGCCGTTTGCTGGGTTTGCAGCAGGAAATTCCACAAGGGGTGAGTGATGCCGACGTGCCGTTTGGAAGTGGGCAGCGATGGACAGCACAGTCCCCCATGCCCTGGTGTCGGGGGACAGGAGAAGGGCATCGGGCTGCGCTCCGCCCTCGGCTGTAGACTCGGCCCCATGCCTCTGTTTCTGAGCAGTCACAGCGGCCCGAGAGAAGAGGCGCCTCCACTGGAGTTTCTTCCCGGCTCTCCCGGAAATGCTGCTGCCACAGGGTTTGGAGGGAGAATGAACTGGGTTAGCTCCGAGCAGGGTGGTGGCCCACCAGGACCCCCAGGTCTTGGGTTGGGTGCTCTCTGGGTGGTATGGGGACCACCTGCCCGCCTGCCCGCCTCAGAAGCGCCGCTGGTCAAAGCTCCGGCCCTGTCCTTCCCCCAGGCCAGCAAGGGTGCGCTGCCCAGGGGCCTTTGTAACTCCTGCATACAGATAGCGTCCCCTTAAGAGACGCGTTGATTAGTTGTATTTTAAGTAGAACCACACTGCCTGAACAACCGCAGCGTCATTTAAAAAAAGTAGTTCATGGAAATGATAGCAATTGAACACTCTTGGAAAGCATGGGGGGGCTTCTGGAGCACCCCACCCTGCCGGCTTCTCAGCCAGGGAGCGGTTGTCCTGCCACACGGTGCTTTCCCCTTCGGTCTAAAAGCCATCTGGAAGGACTCGAAGGCCATGCGAGTGCCCGCTTCCTCTTCGCAGCTCCTCCCTAGACTTAGTGTCTGCCGGCGCCTGGGCCTGGGCCAGTCTTCACAGTGGTGGTCACAGATGACTGCCAGGCACAGGGCCTCACTTCAGAGCACCTCGCTCCTGTTACCAGCATGGCTACATGGGTCCTTCTGTCTCCCGTTTTGGCATCTGTCACTCTTTAATTTTTTCTTGTGCTCATCTTGTCTCATATTCGGCCAGTGGAAGCCCCATCTGTAACCTCCACCTGTGTGACACGCGCTCATTAGTGTTGGCTCATCTCCTGCCTCCTCTGCCCGCACTCATTTGTCTGAGGAGTTCCTTTAGTGGGCAGTGGTTTTAAAGACCAAGATCTGGGGGCTGGGTGTGTCTATTACTGCAGGGTGTCTGCCTCTAAGCCTCCTCGGTGGGTGGAGTTAGTAAAATAATGCACATACGCACACGTGTTTATATAAGCGCACCGATACCTGATTTGCAGATCATGAGTTAACTTCCGACTTTCTGCCATTCTGTATTTCTGTCTCTCTCCTATGGTGACACCGCTGGCTCCCAGCAACTCCAGCACACCGGCTTGTTCGCCCAGTCCTATCATATCTGAAATAGCTTCAGACTTGCTTTGCCCATGTGCTACCAAAAACAGATCTACCCGGAAGAGCTCAGGACTTGTCCGCAGTTCCCCCTTCCCACATCCAACCTGCACTCGTCAGGTTCTGTGTCCTAAGTTACTTTGATTTGGGCTTTTTCCCCAACCGTTAAGTCCCCTTTTCAGTGCTGTTATGTTATTCGTTGAATGTGCAGGCATTGGATTCATTGGCTCAGTCAGCTTCCATCCTAGGCTCCCCTCCCTGTCTTTGTTGATTTAATTTCATTTTTTAGTATGTAGAACATTAACGTGTTTCAGTAAAACCCAAACCGTACAAAGTTATTCTCAGAGAAATGTCCCTCCCTTTCTTATCCCACCCACCTCATTCCCCCATTTTCTATAAGTTCCTTGTCTTCTGCACATCGTGTGTGTGCGTGTGGACACGCGCGTGCAGAGAAGCAGAGATAAAGATAAATATATTCCCTTATTTCTGCTTCAGTTTAAGGCAGCATGCTAAATAAGCACTTTTGCGTTTTGGTTTTTTTCCTAGATATCCTAGAAGTCATTCCATATCAGTTCATGGAGAGCCATTCTTGTTGATGCTCGCGTAGGACTCGTTACACGTAGATACGGGCACCGTAGTTCACGCAGTGGACACTCAGGCAGTTTCTGCACTTAGAAACAATGCGGCAATGAATACCCTTGTGCACAAGCAGAGAAATGAAATACGTACTAGATACGTATTTGCATATTATTAAAAAGCATTCGCTTCGTTAGAAGTTGCCAGTTTTCCTCCTTGGCATATTTTTTGTACTCCCCGCAGCCATCTGTGCAGGTGTTGGTTCCCTTGCAGCCGTGCAACATAGCGTGCTTTTATTTTTAAACTTTCGAATCTTCGCCATCTGATGAACGAAAGGTGATGCACAGTTGTAATTTTCTTTTTTGACTTTCTCGTGAATTTGAACATCATTTTTATGTCTTTGCGTGTGTGCCTGTGTGAGTTATTTCGTGTCACTCGTCCATTTCTCTAGAGGATTTTTGTTTTCCTTCAACTTTAAAGAAATGTTTGTTTTTTATATGTAATATAGGTTGCGAATTTTTTAATTTTTGTGCATTAAATTTATTAACCTTTCCTTTTATTACATCTGGATTTTGAATCATTGTTAGAAATCCCTTTTTTAGCCCCAGAAAAGAAGAAAACTCTTGTTTTCTTCTAATAATTTTTTTTTCATTTGTATAGTTGCGTTTTTATATATGGATCCCTGATCCATTTGGAGTTTATATATATGAAGTACAAGGAGTGAATCTGATTTTCTTTCATTAAAAGGCTCTCCAGTTATCCCAACACTGGCTTCTCTGTGTCTCACCCCATTGATGAGCGATAGTAACACCTTTGTCATATACTCGACTTCTTCGTGTGGTAGGTCTTTTTCTGGACATTGTGTCTACTCCGTTGTGTCTCTGTCTGCCCGCGCTCCGAGACCGTAAGCTTTCGTCACGGAGGCTTCAAACCGTGGAGCCGGCTCCCCCGTCACACCCCTTCCTGTGTGTTCTGTCTGTTCTCACATGTCATTTGTCCTGTATGAACTTCCTATCAATTTGCCTCCAAAAAATAAGATCTTGAATTTTTTTTTTGATGCCTCCATCCCCCAGTCTGTAGATTCAGGCCTTCTTTTTTTTCCTGGAAAGTTCTCTTAGATTATAGTTTCAGACATTAGCTATGCTTATTTCTTCATGGGGCTCCAGTTATGTATATGTTGGGCCTGCTTTGCCTGTCTTCCATTTGGTCCTCAACTGCTTCTGACTCTTTTTCTTTCTTCGTCTCATTTTTATTCTTCTAGAGCTTTTTCTTCCTTTCTTCAATGCCCTTTATTAGACTTTTATTTGAATTTATTCTTCTTTGGGCATTTTATAATTTAGTCTTCGTTTCTTCTTTTCTTCCCAAAGTTAAATGAATTATTTTCATGTCTTCCTACTTTTGTCTAATTGTATTCTTAGTTTTCGTTTTTCTCACCGAGGGGTTGTTTTGTTTTTCACATTCCTGAGTGTGTGTTTAAGGGGACTTATTTCGGTTTGGGCACTGTGCTAGAGTTTTCTTTTTGGTTTGCGAGTCTTTTCGGGCGTAGAATTGTCATCTTTTGCTCACACTTTGTGAGGCTCTTCCCTGTTGTCTCCACTGCTGTCTGCCGTTTGTTTCCGCTGAGGTGCAGCGTCCGTGACGTGAGGCTTGCCCGGCCTCTTGTCCATTCTGCAGTGGACAGCAGGTGGATTCCGCTTTTTGGCCGTTAGGAGTCGTGCTGCTGGGGACATCCTTGTACCCTTGGTGGACATCCTCCTTTGCTATTAAAGTGTGTGTTCCCTTTCACACTGTCCAGTCGCGTCGGCTTATTCTGTCAGCAGGGGGGGCAGCCCCGCTCCCTGCCCGGCGTTCGCAGGCACACGGAACAGCGGGTAACACAGCGAGTTTAATGAGACCGACTCACGTTTCCTTCCTGTCTCGGCGTGTTGCTCTGTAACTGGGCAGATTACTCAATTCTTAGGCCTTTGTGCCTTTCTCTAACAGTTCTGGGGGTGCAGTGCGTGGTGGTTTGTTGGCCCGCAGTGGCCTTGCCCCAGAACGTCACCTGACCCTCATTCCCTGAGTCTCTGCCCAGGTGTCTCCTCAGTGGTCACGGCCACCTGACTCCCTCCACACGTCACACGCCATGCGTTTACGTTGCTTTCCGTCTCTTCCTAGCGCTCTGTGGTACCGAGACCACATGCACGTCGGGCATTCGTGTGTTCAGTGTGCAGCTTCCTGAGCGGGCCCGGGGTCAGCTGCGCCTGGCGTGTTAGTTAGAGATCCGTGTGCAGGACGGGCGGTGGTGATGACCGCTGCTGCCAAGCCCGACTACGCCAAGGCAGGGAGAGGCTGTTCTCGATCGTTGGACTGATCTACTCCTGCTTAAGGCCTTTGACCTATCTGCTGTGTTGCATGGAGATGGTTAACTTATGTATTTATTTTGCTGACAGAGACATTAAACCTGACAACGTCCTTCTGGACGTGAATGGTCACATCCGCCTGGCCGACTTTGGATCGTGCTTGAAGATGAACGATGATGGCACTGTAGGTATTTTCGAGTTTCCGTCTGGTTTGGGGTTTGGTGCAGAGACGTCACCCTGTTCGCATGGCGGGACAGAGCTCCCTGCCGCGTCATTCCGAGTCTGGGTGCGGCTTCGTCCCCTGTGGCCCTCCTCTCAGGCGTGACCCGGGCAGAGCCTGGCCCTTCCCCAGGCCGTCTGTGATTGTTGTCCCCACATCCTGCCTGCTCTCCGCACGCTCCAACCTCTCAGCTCACCTGGCCCCTGCTTTCTCCATGGTGGTTGCCGTCCTCGCTGACACTAGCTCCCTGCAGAGGCGGCCCTGCGTCCAGGCCGTTCCTGCGCACATCATAGCTCAGGGACTCTCCTTTCCCTGTCAGGGGCCTTGGCCTCCTGGCTCCTTGTCTGCGGAACGCCTGAGCACCTGGCCAGTGCCCGGGCAGCCTTAGTGCACCCCCCGGGGGCGTGTTAGAACTGCCGCGGCTTAGACGTTGCCTTACAGGAGCCCAGCGCAGGGGTCTCCATATGCCTCGAAGTCTGAGAAGGGCTGGCCTGGGCGCACCTGGTCTCCGGGCCATGCCTTGAGCGACAGAGCCTGTGGTGCCCCTTGAGGGCATGCGATGCCACTTGGGGCTGCAGTGGGCATTTGGGCGTTGAGAAAGTCTCACGTGTTCTGGAAACTCCCCAATCTAGGCAGCAAAGAACATTGGTTTGCATTGAATTTTGAATTGTTAAGTTTTTCGGTCACGATCATTCGCCAGTGGTATTGGTGATGAGTTCACGATCTGTCATCCCTTTTTGAGAACGTGGAAGTCCGATGTTAGAGCTGTCACAGGGTTTGCCTCCAACACGCCCTCTCCCCGCAGGTGCAGTCCTCTGTGGCCGTGGGCACACCCGACTACATCTCGCCGGAGATCCTGCAGGCGATGGAGGACGGCATGGGCAAGTACGGCCCCGAGTGCGACTGGTGGTCCCTGGGCGTCTGCATGTACGAAATGCTTTACGGAGAGACGCCGTTCTACGCGGAGTCACTCGTGGAAACCTACGGCAAGATCATGAACCACGAAGTAAGATGACGCGTTGTCACATCCCGCCGGGTTCTAGCTCCGAGGCCCAGAGCAGCCTAGCAGGAGGGAGCGCAGGCAGGAAGCTGTTAGAGCCAGCCCTTCGGGAGGAGGATGTGGGGCGGGAGCTGGCCGCTGGCGGCCACATGGGAACTGAGAGATTCGGGAGAGGTCGAGGAGGTGGCCTCGGCCCGGGTTGCGGGCATGGCGGGTATGGCGGGTGTGGCCGTCGGGGCTTCGAGCATGGTCCCGTTTTCTGGTGGAGAGTGGCGGCATTCACTGAGTCATGCCTGCGGGAGACTCGGGCTCCGGCAGAAAGACGCGGACATCCGTGGTGGCCGTGCGGCGAGTGCGTTGCCGTGGGGCGGCCGGCGGGGAGCACCAGTTGGGCAGTGCGACCTGTGGGTCTGGATTCATCAGTCAGATGCCAACCCACTTAATTCTCAGTGTTTCCCCAGAAATCGGTCGTCCCAGACGGATCACACGTCTCAGCGTGGGGGCGTCCTTAACCCTTTCCCAATCCCATTTCCTTTCCCCTTAATGTCCGCGTTCCCTTTCCGAGCTCTTCCTTCTCTGTGTCGGCGTCGCCTGCCTCCATCTTTCCTCCCATCTTTCCTCCCATCTTTCCTCCTCTTTGGTTTTTTATCATTTCCTCTTCCATCTAATATTTTCGTCATTTTTTCCCTTTATGCTCCTCACTCGAACATTTCTTTCTAACGCCAGTTTCCGCCCCGCCCATGCGCTGCGGCGTCCTTGCCCTCGTGCTGTCTGTCACTGCACGCGCCCGAAGCGGCCCCGGTCAAGGCCGCTGCGTGCTCCAGCCCTGCTCGTGGGCGGAGCAGCTCACGCCCACGTGGTAAACGGTCTTGCACTTTCTCAAGCTCGCAGCAAGTTCTCCTTTTAAGAAACGCTTTTCCTAAAGTAGAAATAAACTTTTTCATTTATAAACTAACATATGCCCACTATAAAAATTCGAGACAATGCCAAGTACACACAGTAGATGGTGAAAATCACTCCATCCGCTGTTCAGTGGAAGATGCAGTTAGGGCAGCCAGCGGGGCTTGGTCAGCTCTGGACACTGCCTCCTGGGACCCTGGTCCCACGCTCTTCGTGCCTTCGTTTCTTTAATCTTTACAGCAGCCCAGGAAGTGGTGCTTTTGTTGTCCCTTTTTATAGCTCACAAAGCTGAGGCCACGGCACTTAGCGGGCTCAGCACTTAGACCCACTCTGCCTTGCGGCCGTGAGTAGGGACACGCGTGTGGTAAATAGATGCAATTACCTCGCGTCCAGCTGGGTTTTTGTCAGTATATTTCTGTCGTCTTTCTGGTCAGCCTGCAGGGACGAACCTTTCTTTGTGCACCATGGCTTGTTTATAACAGGTCACTATTTGAAGGGTAGTTTTCTTGGTCAGAGTATAACGCTGTTGCGAGCATGTTACATCTTTGCAACTATTTCTCTAGAATAAATTTCTAAAAGTGGAATTGCCACAGATGTCGGCACAATGCATTCCGAAAGGCCGTGCCAGTTTCTGTCCCCACCCACTGCGTGCTGTCAGCATTCTTTGCCACTTCGATAGGTGAACATTTATCATTAATTTATAGGCCGTGTGGTAACAAGTCTGTCACGAATAAAGCCATAAAGCCAGCAAGACTAACGGCTTTCCCGCTTGCCTTCCTGGAGCTCGGTTTCATTAGCATCGATTTTCATTTAGTTGCCGCGAAGTAAAAAGCGCCGCTCTGGCCGCTTCCGCGCTGTGCTGTGATGCCCGTGCACCTTACAGTCCTCTGAGTACGTTTTCCTCGCACGCCCGCCCCCAGGAGCGGTTCCAGTTCCCGTCCCACATCACGGACGTCTCCGAGGAGGCGAAAGACCTCATTCAGAGGCTGATCTGCAGCCGCGAGCGCCGGCTCGGGCAGAACGGCATCGAGGACTTCAAAAAGCACGCGTTCTTTGAAGGGCTGAACTGGGAGAACATACGGACCCTGGAAGCCCCGTACGTCCCCGACGTGAGCAGTCCTTCCGACACATCCAACTTCGACGTGGATGACGACGTGCTGAGAAACGTCGTAAGTGTTGTGTCACGGGGGGTCCGCGTATTCGTCGCGTTACGTCGAAGGGGTTGCTTATCAAGATAACGTGTCTGAAAACTGTGCCGAGTTTTGAAAAATGAGGCAGATGTCCCAAGAAAATGTATCTCTTATTCCGGCCTTCAGCTTGGCCACGGATGTCCGTTTTTTAAAACGACAGCTTTCTTATTCAGTAAGTTAAAGTGAGTTAAGTAGATGTTTTGTCTTGGAATTCGTCAGAGATACCGAGCTTTCATTGTCATGGCACTTTGGACCTTTTCGAAGCGTGTCATCCGCGTCATGTCGGAGCGTCACCTCAGGCCGGCCGGTCACCACTTCCGGCTTAGAGGTCGGGGACTCCAGCGGGGAGTGCGGCCTGCAGCCCCATGGGCGGCGGGCAGGCCTCTCAGTCCCGGTCCCTCTTGGTGTGCCCCACACGGGGCAGCACGTCGACACTTCCTCCACCCGTTTGCGGCGTCTGCACACACGTGTCCTCGTGCTGCAGCTCAGGGGTGACGACAATAGGCAGAGACCGAGTCTTTTCGCCGACTTTTAAGTTTGTGGACTTTCCAAGTTGGCTCCTGGCTCCGGGACCCGTCTGGTGTCTTACCTGGTCTGACAGGCCCCTGAATTTTGCTCATACGTTGTCACATGACTTCGGTCTCCTCAAACCCAAACTTTTTAGTCCATACATGTGTCTTGGTTTGGGGACAGAGTAATAGGTTTAAACAAGGAAAAGGAAAAATCTTGATTATGCATAATTTGGAGAATTTCTCTAACTAAAGTTAGAGCGGAACTGTAGGCCAGGTGAGACCGCTGAGGAAGGTTCTGTTGAAAGGGTTTTTCCTGGGCGCCAGGGGAACCGTTCCCACACCGAAACGACTCAGGTAAATTGTAACTTTGGTTTTCTTTTAAATAAAGAAGGATCCTCTAAAGTAGTCTCCTTTTGGGATCCAAACCTCATCTCTGCCTCTGGCCTCGGTTTCAGGCCAAGACCCCGAGAGCCCCCAGCCTCTGCCCCACGTCCCCCGGGGCGGCCCCGCACCCCCACTGCTGGTGTCTGCTCAGGACCATGCTGAGCACCGGTGCCGTGGCTTAGAAAAGGTTCGAAACTCTCTAGCCTGATCCAAGTTCATCCTGTGCCATCATCATCATCGAAAGCAGAGCTTACCCTCTTAACCGCATTGTACGTGAGGTGGAGCCAGGAGCGAGAGAGAAGCCTGCCAAGACCGAGCTCCCATGCCGGTGACTCCGCGGAGTCAGCGTTCTAGAAGGCCCCGCGGTCCTTGCCGCGCGCACTCTTGATTTCAGTGTTTGGTGACGTCCTTCCCTCCTTCCTCCCCGTCTGTTTGAACGTGGACCTCACCTGCGCTGTGTGTGTTCTCGTGCAGGACATGCTGCCTCCTGGCTCCCACTCGGGCTTCTCCGGGCTGCATCTGCCCTTCATCGGCTTTACGTTCACAACGGAAAGGTACATCGGGTTTGTCGTCGCAGGCAGAGCCTTCCCCGGGGGGCCCTGCCCGGGGGACGTGTGGTGGGCTTGTCCTTTAGAAGTGCACCCCCAGTCACTGACTTCTGGGAAGGGCCTGACGGCAAATGATTGAGGCTTTGTTGTCTTTGCGGTATGTTCTTTGACATCATTTTTAACAACCTTAAAAATGCGAAAACCATTCTTAGCTCATGGGAGGTACAGAGACAGACAGGAGGGGTGGCCCCAGGCCGCGTTCGCTGGCCCTGACCTGGAGGCTAGCAGCAGTTGCCTCACGTCAGTGACCACAGCCACTGCGCTTAGCTGAGAGCTATCTTTCTTTAGGGCACTTTGTCACTTTTCAGGGCTTTTAGTCACAGCTCTAGTTCCCATCGGCGGGGCTGGAGCACAGCTCCTGCCTGGCGCGAGGGGAACTCTGCAGAGCCCAGAGTGAGCCCTGCGTGTGACAGCCCTGTGAGCCGGCGCCGCCCGAGTGGGTACCTGTCAGCCGGTGTTGCGGGCTTCTGCCGCCTGAGGTGCTCACTTTTAAAAGGCAGCTGTTGCCAGAGGAGAGCGGTCAGGGCGGAAGGCGGGTAAAGTCGCCCATGAAACTGCCACAGTGTCTGCGGGAAGGTCACGGAATTTGATTCACAGCATCTTCCAGCCCTGGTGCCTGAACCGATGTAAGCTCCTCAGGAGAGGGTTGCTTCTGCACTTGAGCTTGTAGAAAGTCTTGGTGTGAGGTCCCAGAGTAAAAGTGACGGCTGATGCCTTCTAGCCCAGGAATGCGGTCCAGGAGGTGATGGATGTACCAATTTATTCTCCGTGGTGTGGAGGCTCTTGACCTTTCTGGTGCATTCCAGCTCATGAGGTGCTTGTCAGGCCTGCAGGTCCCAGGCTCGGAGGCTCGTTTGGCAGGTCGGGCCAAGGGACCTCCTGGAACAGGGCCCCTCAGAGCCAGCACGTCACCTTAAAATAGCGTGTGAAACAGTCCGAGAACGCAGCTCTGCAGAGAGCGCCATCTCTGGCTCTGGCGTGTGCGGGCAGCGCCGGCCCACACCCAGGCGTGGTGTCGAGGTGGCTGGTGGTTGGTGAGTAGCTCGGCTATGCCGGCCAGAGCTCTGGGATCGAAGGAGCCCCACCGGGCGCTTAGTCTGTAGGCAGCGACGAGCCCAGAGGGCTGCAGGGACTGTCCCTAATTAGTGGCAGAAGCAGGAAGCCTTTGAAGGCTCTCGCTGCTCTGGCCGCACCGCCATCCCCAACACCGTGCAGTGAAGCCTCCGCGTGCAGCCAGCAGGGCCAGGCCGGCCAGCTCCCCACACAGGGACCACGTCTTCCTGCGCGTGTTGTCAGGTGAAAGTGCTGGTTTAGAAGTCGCAGGTCCCTTTCCTTGCAGGGGGGCACTTTCTTTGCCTCGCAGCTCCGAGGGCGTGCCCTTCTCCGTGCCCTTCTCCGTGCCCTTCTCCGTGCCCTTCTCCGTGCCCTTCTCCGTGCCCTTCTCCGTGCCCACCGTCATCCAGTCACTGCGTTAAGGGAGACCCTGGTCTAATTTTGGCTCCGTAGACAGTAAAGTTTTTCCATGCGTATTTTTGTTTGCCAGTTTAAAAAGACGTATCTTTTATTCCAGGACGTTTTTAAATGCTCGCGAAATCAGCGTGAGTGCTCAGTGGATCAGAAACCCTGTCGCTTGCTTTGCAGCTGTTTTTCTGACCGAGGCTCTCTGAAGAGCGCCTTGCAGTCCAGCACGCTGGCCAAGGACGAGGCGGTGCAGCGGGATTTAGAGAACAGCCTGCAGGTCGAAGCGTACGAGCGAAGGATACGCAGGCTAGAGCAGGAGAAGCTGGAGCTGGGCAGGAAGCTGCAAGGTGAGGAGCAGATTCGGCTGCCGCAGCCTCGGCCTGCCGGCCGCAGGGGGCCTGCGCTCACGCCGCGTCTCCTACCCCCTAGAGTCCACCCAGACCGTCCAGTCCCTCCACGGGTCAGCGCGGGCCCTGGGCACTTCAGCCCGAGATAAAGAAATCAAAAGGTTGAATGAAGAAATCGAACGCTTGAAGAATAAAGTAGCAGGTATGTGTTGAAGCCTAGCTGCCCAGTCTCTATTCTCAGAGGGCGTTAATCCCTGCAAAGAAAACTTGAGAGTCTTGTAAGGTGGAAGCAGGAGAAAAGCTTACGCATCAGCAGAGTTGAGGTATTTTTTTGTCGGTTTATTTGAAATTGTTTTCCCAACTCGCTTAGCTCTAGTATAATTTTATAGTTGCAGCTAGAATCGAGTCCTCGCGCATGATCCGTAAACTCTCGGAGTATCTCGTGTTTCTCTGTTTTCAGTCTCTTGTTTTAGCTGAGACAGAATTGCTGTCCTCACTTCTTTCCGAAGCTCTTGTCAGTTTCTGCGCCTGCTTTTCAGTATTCTAGGTGCCAGGTCTGTTGTCACCATCTATCTTTTGTGGCTCCTCGGTTATCAAAGTTTCCTGAAGACTCAGCTCGCTTCCGAGTGCTACCCCTTAACCTGACACTTGGGGGGTGCTGCACTTGACTCTCATCTCCACATCAAACCTGAGTCAGTCACCTGCTCTCTGTTTCTTCCCCGGAACCCCATCCTGATCCAGAAAAAGCCTTCAGTGAAGTCCATTTTTCACTAAAACCTGTTGTGCCCTCCGGTCACGCTGTGCTAGCTTACACAGGTTAGCAGGGACGTGCGCACCACCCTGTGGCTCACAGGCCCTGCAAGAGAGCTGTTAAAAGGAGGGTCACTACGGCCACGCCACCCTGAATGTGCCTGACCTCATCAGATCTTGGAAGCTAAGCAGGGTTGAGCCTGGTTAGTACTTGGATGGGAGACCAGCTAGGAAGACTGGGTGCTGCAGGCGTAAAAAAGTAAATAAAAAATAATAAGAAGAAGGTCAGAGAAAGGTTAGTACTTGGATGGGAGACCAGCTAGGAAGACCCGGTGCTGCAGACGTAAAAAAATAAATAAAAAATAAGAAGAAGGTCAGAGAACAGTCTAGTGAGTCTGTTCACTGCGCAGGTGGCCGTGCACGTGACACTGTGAGTGTGTAAGTCTGAAAGGGCCTCCAAGTGGAAGAGTGTCAGGAATTAACGATTCGCTATCGGTAAGTCAGGTAACAGTTTCACACATAAGGGACCGTGATTTATTTTCTCCTTTGCTCAGATTCAAATAGGCTTGAGCGACAACTGGAGGACACAGTGACGCTTCGCCAGGAGCACGAGGATTCCGCGCAGCGGCTGAAGGGCCTGGAGAAGCAGTGCCGCGTGCTGCGGCAGGAAAAGGAGGACCTGCACAAGGTGCGCGGCCAGCCCTGCGGGACGGGCCCCACACGGCTGTGCGGAGTCGTCGCGGCCAAAATCAGGCGGGGTTTACAGACCTCCCCCAGGACCCTCGGCTCTGGCTGGCACGCATTTCACAATGGTGACCTTTGTCCCCAACGCCACCTGCCCAGTACGCAGTGTCCCCCCAGTGCAGAAGTAGAGACGTGCAGCTCAGGCCATCAGGGTTCCCCGCGTCTCGGTCCACGATGACTCGCCCAGCTGGCTTTAGGCCACCGGCCCCCTTCTTCCAGAAGGGACCTGTTGGTAACGACAGGGCACTGCAGAAGATCGTCGCGGGACCAGGTGCAGGGAGCGGAAGTGGTCAGTGCAGCCAAAGGGACAGCCAGCATCCAAACCTCAGACGTGTGACGGGCTGGCTGTTTGGCAGTTGTCTTTATACAGTTCTTTACTTCGATCGGAATCTTAAGCGTCTCTGTATAGTGTGTCCTGTTCTGATTCTGCTGGGTTTAAGCAACTGGGCGGGCAGCCGGGTTCATGCTTTGTCTACCCGTGTGACAGTGTGGATGGCACAGGGCGAGGTGAGCCAGCCCGGCGGCTGTGAGCAAGGCTGCGAAGTGCTGCCCCGCGTGCCGCAGTGGGTTCGGCGCTCAGCACCGCGCGCAGGCGGCTCCCAGGCCGCGCGTCGTTCCTGGGAGGCAGGCCCGTGGGCCTGTGGCCGGAGTCTGTGATCAGCACCGCTGTCACGTGTAACTGCTCGGCACCGTGGGAGACGGGGCCCCCGGCCTTCCAGACCTTTGTCAATCGAACGTGAACCCTCTGTGATTCTTTCTGTCCAGCAACTGGCCGAGGCTTCGGAGCGCTTGAAGTCCCAGGCCAGGGAGCTCAGGGATGCGCAGCAGCAGCGGAAGCTCGCCCTGCAGGAGTTCTCGGAGCTCAACGAGCGCATGGCGGAGCTGCGGGCCCAGAAGCAGAAGGTGTCCCGGCAGCTGCGAGACAAGGAGGAGGAGGTGGAGGTCGCCATGCAGAAAGTCGACGCCATGCGGCAGGACGTCCGCAGGTCTGAGAAGCTCAGGAAAGAGGTAGCTTTTGGGGGTTCCCGGGGTGGCACTGTTGGGACTTTTGTGTGACTTTAATGTCTTTGAAAACGTGGTTGCAGCACGTCCGCTGCTTTAAAACAGATCTTCAATTTCATGTGAAGCCGAATGTCGATGTGCCAAGCATTTACTTTGTAGCTTTCAGCCCTTGACATCCATTTGTGAAATTATTACAGATTTGGTCAATACTAATTTTCAAAAATTCCCTTTTGAAGTAAACGGAGGATCTTCATGCCCAGCAAAGGCAGCGTCAGCGCCCCAGTGGGCTGCAGCCACCACGCGAGTCTGAGCCCCTGACCCATGCGGGGCAGGGTGGGCGGGGGCCGGAGGGCCACCCCCGGACCCGCGGGCTACGCACCGAGAAAGTGCCGAGGCCCTGAGAGCCTTTGTCTGCGTAGTTTTTAGCTCTCAATATTTACCACGTTAGAAATTACAACAGGCTGTTTCTCGTGTGACCATAAATCCATTTCGTGTTTATGTTAATAACATTTTTAATGAAAAGTAGCCATCTTCCCCAAAATCATGGTGAGAAGAGTGGCAGTTTCCGCGTTTTTGTACTTTACTCGCTGGCTCGGTAGAAGATGCCACGGCCGTCGTGTCTGCGTCTGCGTGCAGTCCATTCTGATGCGCTGCTGGGGGTAGCGTCTGTGAGGGGGACCCGGCTCCTTCAGATGGGGAACGAGGAAAAGAGGGCTCCGCGGGCCCCGGAACGGGTCTCGGGACGCACTCTGAGAACCGCTGCCCTGACGGTCCCCGTGTCCGGGGAGTGACCGCTGACGTATTTTAAGCAGCCCTTAGTGTAAAATTCTGCTGAACTGACATGTGAGCTCCGTGGGTCGAAAGGCCTGCGGTACGCGCGCCCTCGTTGCCGTCATGGTCGGCTCTGTCGTCTGGCCTCGGAGAGCCTGTCTGTGTTCTTAGCTCATTTTGCAGCCCAGATGCGTTGGTCACGGTAGCCAGCTGTAAGTCAGTGGCTGAAACCCCTGATTAAGCGTTGCTGTCCCCGTTCTGGATGGCGTGCCACGCTGTCCAGGGTCTGCCCTGGAACAGCTCGGGAGCGGGCGTGTGGGTGGTCCAGGCGGGTGCTGGGTGCAGGGCTGAGACACCACTCCTTCTACGTTTGTGGGTGTTTGAAATTTTCCACGCAAAAATGAATCTGTGTCCTACAGATAGCAGAGTACTTGTTTTTGCAGACCAGTACCCTTTCTTGAAATTTAACGTCAAATTGATGCTTTCAGTTGGAGTTAAACTTGCTTTTTTACTAAGCAGACCTTCTAGTCAAGCCCTAAGGTGTGTGCTCAGCCCTTAACTCGTGACAGAGTCTGAGGAGCTGGCGAGTCGCAGAGGCTGTCGCGGTTCCGTCCGCGCCGGCGGCCTCCGGGCGGACGTGCGGCGGGCGTGCTTCGCGCTGTTGAGCGGCGCCCTCTCCTCTTGCAGCTGGGCGCTCAGCTCGAGGACGCCGTGGCCGAGGCCTCCAAGGAGCGCAAGCTCCGTGAGCACAGCGAGAGCTTCTCCAAGCAAATAGGAAGTGAGCTCGAGGCCCTCAAGGTAGCCCCCCTTCTGCCCTCGCAGCCCACGGCCGCGGCGGGACTCGCCTCGAGCAGCGTGCTTGTCAGGCGGATGTCACCGGGCAGCACCAACCAGATGTGGGGATGGACGGGTGGCGGGACAGGAACGTGCCTTTGTGATTGCTTTCACTTTTAAAAACCAAGCCCATTCATTTCTCTCTCAGTTCATAGTAAGCCCTAGTAAATAACAAATAACACCTGATGCCTCTCTGTACCCCGGGTTTCTAAACTCAGCAGAGGCCATTTCTGGAAAGGTTCCTTAAAGGTCACGTCTTGATGCTGATGTGGAAGGGACAGGCTGGTCATCTGAAGTCCGGGCAGTGGGGGAACGAGCACGGGCGGGAGGCGGTGGGCCTCCTGGTCAGCCTGCTGCGGCCTCAGGCACCCCTCCTGTGGGCCACGCTCTTGAAGGGGAGGCGCTGAGTCTTCCCTCTCCCTCTCGCACTGCGCACCTGGCCCATCAGTGAATCGTCACCTCTCCCCAAGCAGACATCCCCAAGGCTATGTTCCTCTCCATCATCTTCGCTGCCACTTGGTCTGGCCAGGAGTGTCGCACTCCCCACCCCCACCCCCAAATTCTTTATCACATTACCTTGTGTTATTGCCTTGTCACTTATGTGCTGGTTTGTTGCCAGTCTTTCTCCCTCTGTCCCAGGAGGGCAGAGACCTCACTAACCCTGTCACCAGAGGGAGGCCTGACATGCAGTCAGCCCTCAGGGGGACACTTGCGTGAGTGAGAGCAGAGCAAGGAGACGCTCTGGGCACATCCCTCCTTCAAGGCCGATGCCCTCGCCCCCCGAAGTCTGCTTGCAGGTGTCAGAAGGACCACGTGACTAGCTCTGTCACGTGGCACAGTGTTTGTCGGGAGGGCAGAGGAAGCAGTGTATGGGTGCCTGCGTGCGGTAGGGGCGGCGCGCGCCGGGACCCTTGAGGGAGGGCACAGAGCTCTGTGGTTAATTTTAACGTTTGTCATCAGACAAAGCAAGGAGTCCGGGGACCAGCTGCCACCTTAGAACATCAGCAGGAGATTTCTAAAATAAAGTCCGAGCTTGAGAAGAAAATCTTGTTTTATGAAGAGGAGTTGGTCAGACGTGAAGCCTCCCACGTGCTGGAAGTAAAAAACGTGAAAAAGGAGGTGCACGACTCCGAAAGCCACCAGCTGGCCCTGCAGAAGGAGATCCTAATGCTGAAAGACAAACTGGAGAAGTCGAAGCGAGAACGGTGAGTCTCACGGCCCCGCGGTGCCGAGGGCGGGCGGCCGGGCCACGGGTGGGAGGGGCGCTGGCAGCGCGGGAGCCGCTGGACCGTCCCCCCTCTCCCCTCAGGCACAGTGAGATGGAGGAGGCCGTCGGCACGGTGAAGGACAAATACGAACGAGAACGAGCTCTGCTGTTTGAGGAAAACAAGAAGTTAACCGCCGAAAACGAGAGGGTAACTTACAGACCCGGGCCGCCGCGTCGGGGGCTGTGGCGTCTCCATTCTCGAGCGCTGGAAGTTTGCTGTTGTCAATGTTTCTGTTTTGAAATGAATTAACACGTTTGATCTTTTAAATGGGATGTTTTCATTTGATTAAACACTGCTAATTACCTGAAATCACTAACTCCACTTTTCTGTTCAGATCTGTATTGAAACGTGACTTGGGTTAGATACAGTCTGTCCTGAACTTAGTCTAAAAATATTTCATAATGATTAAAGAAAATCCAAAACTTTCAAAAGAACGTGTAGTTTCAACCATGGTAACGAGAATGCCAAATAACACGCCGTGTGGCACAACCGTTCACTTCCAGCTCTGCTCCTTTGTGGATAAGCTCACGGCTCAGAACAGACAGCTGGAGGATGAGCTGCAGGACCTGGCGGCCAAGAAGGAGTCGGCGGCCCACTGGGAAGCCCAGGTCGCGGAGATCATCCAGTGGTACGTGCGCGGCTAGCCCGGGCTTCCTCGGGAGTGTGGCACAGGTCTCACCTCCATGCCCCCAAGTCGCTTTCTGGGGGCGGCAGTCCTGTCCGGTGGTTATCGCACTGGACTGGAGATGGAGCAGCAGCCCTGCCAGTCACCGAAGGTGTGGGTCAGGCGTGCACAGCCCTGCACGCTCAGGGACACTTGTCACGGGTGTGTCTGATCGGACGCTGGGCCACTGTGCTCTGAGGGAGGTGGGAGGTATTCATCCGCTCTGGCTCCTGGTGCTCACGGCCCGTGGTACCCCGCAGGGTCAGCGATGAGAAAGACGCCCGGGGCTACCTTCAGGCCCTCGCCTCCAAGATGACGGAAGAGCTCGAGGCCCTGCGGAGTTCCAGCCCGGGGCCCAGGCTGGTAGGTCTTGTCCGGCGGTCTTGTCTCTGGGGTTCTCAGTGCCTTCGCTTCCATGTGAGGGGGGTGGTGGCGTGCCACGCAGGCAGTCCCGGTGGGGAAGTCACCGGCTTGAGGAGTGCCCTCATTCTGTCAGCGCCAGGTGACGAGACTTTGGGAGCCATTCATTCACTTAGTGAGCGAGTGCCTGGTCCTGGGCTCGGGGGCATCTTGTGTCAGCAGGACACGTTCTGCCCACGGGAGCTGTCTGGTCCGTGTGGCCCTCCAGCCAGCCCGCCCGGTCTGTATGTTTTGAGCGCCCGGAGTGCGGCGAGCTCGGGGCTGAATCATCTCAGGGGAACATCATCTCAGCCCAGTTCCTGGGTGGCAGCCACACGTGTCCCTCCTTCTCGAGTCTGCTTTCTTGGTCTAATTTACTTTCTTAAAAATATGTGAGTTATTTTGTGACTGACTTATAGAAGAAAGAATAAAGACACAGTGAAACAAGTTTATTAGAATCTTAGCTAGAACTTTGACTTAGTAAACCCCAATTTTTATCTCGCTTTTCTGGTTTGAATATATTTACCCAGAAGGCACAGCACCTTCGAAGGTAGGTTAACCGCTCATCCCATCGCAGAGAACCCAGAACTCATCTGTCTCACGAATCCCGAATCTCGTGGCAGCGATGCCGGCGTCACGTGAACATCGCGTGGGTCCCAGCTTGTCGTTACCACCCCTTCCCCACGCTCGCATCACCAAACAGCACTTTTGAAAACAGTGACAGCTCATAATTTTATTAAAAAAAGAATGTGGTCATGTTTGTCCATAATTGGAAAACATTTTCATTTTCAGATTTAGAAACATCAGTTAGAATGATTAATAAATTTCTTTCATTTCAACTTTTTTTTCCCAATCATGTTTACACACGCACTGGCACTTATGAGCTGCAGTAAATAAATTTTGTACACAAACCTCACAGATGAAAGAACAGTGTCAGGAGTCATTCTAGCAAAATGGGATTTTCCAAATTCTTACTGCAAAATACGGCGTGAATAGTTCTTATTGGATGAGGTTATATTTCCTTTTTCTCCGTAGAAGTGTATTTTTTCCTTATCGATTCTTGAGAAAGGTCATCGAGGA